TGGCCGGCATGTGAGGGTCAAGGGTGAAGAGGGTCACTGTTCCACGACCATTGACTTTGACTGTGAAGGCTTTAGGGAGGGGGCAGTTGGCCTCTTTAAGAACCGTTGCCGCGGTGTCAGGGAAGGAAGCCGCTATTTCTCTGCTCAGGGTGTGGGGAGCAGCAAGAGACCGAGGGGCAAAATATCTTCTCTCTACAGCGGGCAGTGGCCTAGGCACGGGAGGACTAGCCAGCCTGGGTACTGTTTTCGCGACTTGCGCTACTGAGGGGGTGGAGCCACTTTGTTTCTTTCTGGCCCTTGAGGGCCCTGAGGATGTGGCCTCAGACTATGATGTTCTGGTTTTACCAGGAAGGGGGTCATCTGGGTTGGGGATGCAGGAGAGGAATTCAGCCGGGTCGGGGTACTTGCCGTCCCTCCATTGCTGTGCTTTCCATGTTCTGGGATATTTGGCCATATAGGCAGCAGGGTTGCCCCTGTACTTGCCTATTGCCGTGTCGTAACTGCGGAGGTCCGGGTCATAAAACGCTGGGTAGCCCAAAGGTAACAACTCAGGAAGAGTAGGGGCAGCAGTGTTGGTGGCTGGCTCCTTACCCTTTCAGGAAGGTTGAGGGAGTAGGGCAGTGGGGGCCAACACAGGTGGTTGGAGTGGGGGCGCGGGATTTGCCACCAACCTAGTGGACAGATCCCTGATGGATGCTTGGAGAGAGGCCACGGAGCCCGCCAAAATGTTGGTGGCATTGACCAGGGCATCCTGGATGGGGAGAGTGTTCGAAATCTGTGATGAGAGGTCGTGAATTCTTGTATTGAGCTGATCAACTGTGCGGGAGAGGGCGGACATGCCATATACAAGTGAGGAGACGAGGGGAAGCAGGTAGCATTCTCTAGTGGAGAGTTCTAGCACCTCCTGACGGGAGATGGGGGGCAGACTTTCAGGGTGCCAATCTAGCAGGGCTCTCGCAGAGGGGATTAGCCTGGCTAGGTTTTCATGAATAGGGAGAATCGGGGCAGCCGAAGACGGTCGTGAGGGAGGGTGGGAGGCAACGCCCTGGTTAGACACAGGCATGCCGGAACGTGAGTGGGCGGAGGGGTCCATGGCCTAGCAAGGAGAGATAGTCCCTAGGCGTAGGCTAGGAGGATCGTGAAGCGATAGGAGTTTGTTCACCAGATGCAGATGGTGTTGAGAGTAGGAGTAGAACGTAGGGGGGGGGAAAGAAGAGGGCGCAGAGCATGTGTTACTGGAGGTCTTTTTTTTTTTATAATCATTTAGTTACTTGTTTAAGGTACAAGAACATCGCATGCAGTGCTAGCTATGGCGTTAAGAAAACCCCTCCACCCCGGACCAAGAGAAAACCCGTACCCCCAAGACCCTCTGGCATGGACCCAACCGCACACACTCCAAGGGCGATCAACTCAGGTGCCCAGCCCACAGGCCTCATGACTTGAACGCGAAAGGGTCTCGCCTAGAAGCTAACCAAAAGCCCAAGAAGATTCCTCGCCCAAAAGAAAACCCTACCCACTAACTACACGTAGCCAACAGGAAGGAAACCAAACAAGCTAGGCAGGAAAGCAGAAGGAAAAACTCTATCCCGTAAACTATAAGACCCATAGGGCCACAAAAGAAAGCAACCACTGCCCACCGTACCACCAGATTTGCCGTTATTTAAAGAACTGCCCCTGAAGTGGGCGGCCGGCGACGAGCCCTAAGGCCAAGCGCCCCCAACTAGCTAAGCCACAGAAGTAGTGCAATACCATGACCCGCCAATCGAGAACAGAGGCCATGGTGCCAGGCCCAAGGAATGGATGTTTGGCAGAGGGGATGCCGCCCAGCAGTAGGATGCCAGTCAAAGGGAGGAGGTAGTAGGGTACCAGCCAAGGAGGGAAGGCAGTAGGGTGCGAGCCGACGCGACCAAAGTGGAAAGTGGAGGGAGGACCAAAGGCCCCAGTGCAAATCCGACCGTAGACCGAACCGACTTATTACCGCGTCTCTCATGTAGTCCCTTGTTCTTCGAGAGATAATGTCACTTAGTGGAAGGGATCCCACCGGCGGCAGGGAGATGGAAGGGCGAGGTGAGGAAGGCAACCAAACTTGAACCAAGTGACTAGGAAGGTATGGTCAAATCTCACCGCGAGACAGACCCCGAAGTTACTAGTTGAGGCGTTCCCCAACAGGGATCGTGCAAGTGGGGAGAAGGACGTCCACCACTGCCAGTACTGTCCGGAAGCGAAGAGAGGAAGCCGACCGTGCCAAAGCTAAGCGAGTCCCTATTAGCAAGACAGGACTACTGGGCGAGCCCAGATAACTCCCCCATCAAGCAGACAAGAGACAAGCAAGGCCAAAGCGGGAGAGGATGGTAGAGTTAACCGTGCCCCTAGGCAGGAACCATTGAGGGGGCAGAGGGGAGTGGGAGGGCCCACAATAGTTGACGTGGTGTTGCCAAACTATGTGGAAGGAAAATAGGAGCGACGGAGCGTGTGTTACTGGAGGTCCCTTGACCTCGCTATTTATGCAAACACCTTACTCAACCCTAACCCTGTATGACTCATATCTTCACATCACCATTTCCTATAACTCATAATTGTGAGTCATGTGAAATTCTTAGTTGACTCATTATGAGTCAACTGCATAACATCCCTAAATCAATCATAATTCTTATAACAAATCATGTGTGCTAAATGCATTATATGCGTGAGACTTCATAACTCATAAGTATGAGTCATATATGAAAATCATAACATTATATGACTTACAACTGTGAGTCATTGCATAACAATAAACTCCTATAACTCGCAAGTACGAGTCATGTGAAAATCTTTGTTCTATCTCTTTAATCTGCGTTGTCACAATCTGGTTTGTGATAATAGCTCCCAGGTTGACTACTTGGGTTACTGTAATGATCCCACCTTGGATAATTAGTTCTTGGCGACGGGGAACGATACTTCTCTTCTTCTGTTTCTTTCCTTAATCTTACGATAGCACTAGGCCTCTGCCTACGTTATCAATAGTAAAAGACCTTTGTCTTCTATCGGGAACGCCTATCGTAAGCTTTCTCTAACTCCTCCTTGTGAAGAGCTTTCTTTGGTGTAACGATAATGTTGCAATAAAGATAAAGATCGTAAAAGTATTTGATATTCATTAAAGTAATAAGTAGGAAAAGTACTTAGAATAAAGTATGAAGAATCTATCTTCCTTGGCCGTATCGGCCTCCTTATATAATGTTCTTCCCACCCATAGTCATGTGACCCAAAGTGGTCACATGTGCGAAACCAAATCATAACAAACTAATCATATGACCAAAGTGGTCACATGCTCAAAACCCATGACCTCATCGCGAGGTCATGTGCAAAAACTCATAAACCAATTATAATACAATAAACAAGTCATATGACTCGACTAAGTCATATGTGTGAAACCCATGACCTCATAATGAGGTCATGTGCGAAACATAAATCATATGCACAAGGCATACCCACAAGGCCCACTTGCAAGGCATACTCGTCAGTCATATGTCCCATGACTCATATTTGAGCCATGTGCGAAAGCATTACAAATCCCACACATAACAAATCATATGACTTGAATGAGTCATATGTGTGAAACAATAACATACCTGTGACTCATAGCCATGTATCACGTAAAAGCCTTTTCCTCGCCAAGCCATATTCGTGACAGTTACTCTACTCAGTACGGTAACTACTGCTCCTTACTAGTACTTATGTACTTCTTTGTATAATATAGCATGTCCAACTGAGATACCTAACCAACAGTACCTAATCAACAGTACCTCTGCTCCGTAGACTCTGGTCTACCACCATTCCTACTGCGGTAGTCTCTTGACACTGGTATGGGCATAGGTTTGGCTAACTATAATAGTACTCTGTGGAGTCTCGTTACAGTAAGATAGTAATTATTCTTATAGAAGTGAAGGAACTATATACTGCTAGTCTTAAAAAATCACTAGTCTCTTACTATTATAGAGAGAATCAATACTAATGGAAGGACTCTTCTACTGCCTGTTGCTATCTGCCCAGGGGAAAAGAAAGCAGAAGATTTGGAATATTCTGACTCAGAGAGGGATTGTTCCTACTGAGCTGCAAATACCAATTCCTGATCCAGAGAAGAATTCCAGTGCTCAGAATCTTGAGTTACTGGAACTACCTCCTAATCTCTTACAAGATCTATTGCTACAAGAACTTATATCTGTTTGTTCATCTAATGCTATTGGTTTTCAATTGCTTGCTCTTAGTGGTGAAATAGGAAATTCATATAAAGAATAAGTGGAAACAGACGCTAGTCACCCTGAAGATAATTCTCAAGATGTTGGCAGTGAATCAGATTCTGGTTCTTCATGTACATCAAATGACTTGATTACTAGAAATGCTAACTTTGTAGCATTTAATTAAAGTTGTGGTTCACAACTATTGTTAAAAAAAAGTGACACATCACACTTGCTTTTCCGTCACACTTGCTTTTACCGACTATGAGCGACAGCAAAATAGGAGGGGAACCGGCTATTAATCCTTGAAAACTCGAATTTCATCAGCCGAAATAGCTACAGTATGATAACTGCAAACTTAGCTTAATCCAATACCGACACAGGAATATAATTATCCTAGAACAATACTTCTACCGTCTTGGCAACGGGGAGAGAATAATGCGAGTTACAGACAACTTCACCATTCTCATATCGAGCTTTGGACGCGTAAGCCCTTCACGCGAGAAAATTTAGTCACAAATCATGCTCTAGAGCATATTGAAATCCCTCATAGTAAATATGCGAGAAGATGTCGCGCTTAGAATACGAGAACGAAAGTACGGGCAAAAGTCTTAGGTGAGAGGACTCGTACAAGTACCTATACCATACCGTGAGGTACTATACGGCACTCTACGTGTACTCGAGTATGATTGTGCGGTAACTTAGTTCATAATACCGGTACTGGTATGGGTGCTGTGCTGGTGTGGGTGCGATGATATTTTACCTCTCGGGTCCCTCCCTCAAAGTGCAATTGAAATATTGAACCCCCTCTAATCTGAACTAAAAATACTACTGCCGTGTAAACATACAATCGTCACAAGCACAGAGAAGAAAGGGAAAAAAAGGAAGGAAATAAAAAAAAAAAAAGGAAGGGAAAGCAATGGGAAAAGGGGTACCATCATTAAACAACAAGAACGCCGTCCAAAGACCTCTGACTTCCCTAGAGGACACAAACCAAAAACTCATGCTTTTGGCACCGAATCCTCTACCGAATCACTTCTTGGGCAATGGTGGTGGTAGCATCATCCCGGAATTCTTTCCTCTGCCAATTCCCTGTTCCTTGTGGGGCATGACGCTCGACCCGCCACTACCCACCATGCTGAAAGTGCCCCCAGCAAAGTACCTGTCGTCTTCGGCCGCGGCTTTCCGTTTTCTCTCAGCAGCGACTTTGGGATCAATCAACTCGATGCCCTGCACAGGGGTAAATGCAAGACTACTAGCTGTACCACTTCCCAAGCCCATTGGGGCGCCAAAAGAACTCCTTCCACCACCACCCAACGCCGCAAGGCCTGGCCCATTGCTGGATCGTGTGCCTAGTATAGACTGCGTACCTCCGACTGGCGCCGCGCCAGCCCATCCAGGGTTGTATTTGCCCATCTTTGCACGGGTTCGCTGGTCGACCTGCAGAGCCCTAATGCGACCATTCTGTTCCTGGCCAATCATGCCAAGGCCCTTGGTGGAATCACCGACACCATAGCCTGTCTCTTCCTCTTGTTTGCCAAATGCCATACGATTCTGAGCCTTGCGGAGATCAGTCATGGCAGTTGCTTCCTTTGCCTTTCGTGCCCTACGACCTCCACGCTTACGTGCCGGTTTATCGTCAGGCGCTGGTAGAGCCTTGGGTCCTTTGTTAGGTGGGGGAATAGTGAGTTTCTCGAGCTTTTCCAAGACCTGTTCTTTGAGGTCCTCGCCTTGGGATCCATCAGGAGATGAGTGCGAGAAGTCAACTCGAGCCGCGAGGATAAGTTTCGCGGATACTATTCGCATGGCTTGAACCTTTAGGTCCGTAGGTATTTCCCGAATTATAGGTGAGTGGAATATATAGCCCTGTTGTCGAATGCCAATGTTTGTTGCTAGCCCCGTTTGAGTCTGGCGTCTAGACCCTAGAGCAGCAATGTTGCAAGCTGGTGTAGCAGCAAGACCGCGCAGCCCACCGGCAAAGTTGATGAGCTGAGCTGCAGTTTGAGAGCCAACAATAGCAGAGGTATTAGGGGCGAACATGGACATTCGAGATTCGACGTAAGCCGTGATGGTTCGTTTGGCTGAGTCAAGGGCTTGTGTCATTTCACAGGCTCTCACTGTGACCGTCAACTCCTTCTCCGTCAAGTCGCGACCGGAGGTGGTCGTAGCTTCAACTGTCACCACCATCAACGTCGGCCCATCCAAGACCTGTCGTAGCCGATTCCCGTTACGGGCCTCAAGGTTTTTGATGTCCAACTCGTTACCGATTATAGAAACTGTCTTAGCATAGTCCAAAGGATTGGTAACTAAGTTTTCCAGTTCAGGAAATCTCACGGCGTAGTGGTCGCGAATAAATTTGTGAACGAGAATGATCTCATTATCAATGGATACGGCGTGCGCATTAGATTGGACAAGCAGCTTGTACTCGGGGTTATCCTCGACATTTCCTTGGGGTCCCTTGGCCGGTGGGAGGTTTTTGTAGTATTGAATTTTCTTATTTCCATTAAGAGTCAGCGCGTAGCTCAATGGAGCATGGAGAATAAGTAGGATGATCGCGTACCTCCAGGACAGGCTCAAGAACCTTCATCAAACCTGCCACACTGCGAACATCATCAACCCCACCAAGGTGCATCTTTTCTACTTTTGCCTTCCTCGCCTCTTCATCATCGTCATCTGCGAGCTCGGACTCCGAACGTCTCCGTAATCTAGCACCATTTCCCACACTCCCCTCAGCACCTTCTATTCCCCCCATCTCTTCGTCCTCATCATCCTCCTCATCACCATCCAATCCAAGGTCACGGGATTTGGAACGAATACCGGTCTCTGGAACGTTTAGATCCGCATTCTCTAAGTCCAAATCCTCGTCATTGTCAGAATCATCGTTAAAGTCGGCTAGCAGGTCAGCAGCAAGTGATGATTCAGCCATATTGGTGGCCCTCTGAATACCCTTGCGATTTCAATTATTATTATTTTAGAAGAAAAGGTAGAAGGGCGAATGTGGGTTGAGGAAAGAAGTTGTAAAGGTATGGTTAAGTTACCTCAGGGAAGATGGTATGATACCACAGGTTCGGCCGGGCTTGGCGCAACAGAGGGGGTAAGAGGGTTACCTTATGCGAAACCAATAGACTACGAGTACCGGTGGGAGGAAGAGGAATACCGGTACCGTACTTGAAGACAGCACGGTACCGGTAACTTATCATTGGGTAGATCGCAGTTTGTTATTACTAAGCAAGAGCGCCAAGGAATGTCATAATTTTGGCAGGCACTTGTGAGAGGTGTGGCGAGTATGAAATATCTGTAATACCGCCCAGTGGAGGTCTTCCCGTAGGAATCTGGAAAGGGTCTTGTCAAAATTTTGCGCTAAAATCTGAAAACGCTCTTCTTAGATTCTTAATCTGACAAAAGTCTGAACTAGGGGGGGGAGGGGTGGTTCAGATTTAGGACTTTAAAAAGTTTGGAAATGAAGAGGTGATTGGATAAGGAATCCTCCAGATTATGCTGAATCTGATGAAAATGATATCAGTCTCCGGTATAAATAAATAACTTGGCATATAGATAACTGAGTTGTTGACTATAGGAAGAAAGAAACCAAACTTTTTTTCTACCGTCTATCAGTCCTGATAAAGCAGTTTCTTCAGAAGAGAATTCTCCTCTATTCATTATTATCCATCGAAGCCATGCTCAATGACAAAAGTGACAAAATCGCTTCTATCTAACACGGAGTAACCTCAGTCCATTTTCCTGGTCAGCAACTGCATGGGAGTACATCTATGTGTCAAAGGATAATAGTGCATTTATTTGGATAATGGGAATTGGAGTTTCTGTTTTTCAGCAATTACTAGACTCAGGCTTTGAGACTGCTTGGAATACTATACCTATCCTACAAGATAATGTTGTGTCGAGTGCAAAAGCCTGGATGCATCATTGATCCTTGACTTCCACTGGTACTTTAGGCCTTATCTTACATCACCTTAACTTAACAATGGTCGATTATAGTCTTTAAATGATTTTGGCATAACTCCTACAGTGTGTTTAAGGTATCGAAATTGGGCTTTATTAATTTTACAAGCAGTATTGTGGACCTTCTATGAGGCACGAGTTACCTGGCCAACAAAACAGTAATGTGATCAGTATTCCTCCCTTATCCAGCACTGACATCCTCTCTTACAACATGTTATTTGTTTTATTGATAGCTGTCATCTTCTAATTGCAACTGTAGCAAATAATGACTTGCAAAATGCCTATTACAATAGCTGGTGTTTAGCACACTTTACCTCTAATATATTTGTATTTGCACTTGATAGTACAATTATTCATACTACTATGAATGCTCCAGGTAGTTGGCATAATGCAGCAGTATCTCCCGACCTATTTGCTAGGCTACTACATCACGTGCCAGAAAGTTATTGGGTAATTGGAGATACTACCTTTCCTACCTCTAAGGACCTAGTTGGTCAAATAATCACCCCTCTAAAATCGAATTCTAACAGCTATCCTAGTAATACTGCTTCTTGCTATCAGTTTATTAAGTTTAATGAGCAACTGGTCTCGGTACGACAGGTAGCAGAGTGGGGAATGCGATGCTTACAAGGCTCTATTGGAATATTAAAGTTACCAATACTGGCTTAGGATACAGAATACCACTATCGGCTACTGGAAGTATGTACACAGCTACAGAATTTACATATGCATTGAAGGGATAAATCAAATACACATAGTTTATGAGGAAATCTGGCAGGGTAGTGGAATATATACTGCGTTTAAAGAATTATTGTTTTCTGATATTATGAAAAATGACTGGATTTGTTATTACTATATATTTATATCTTAACATTCTTGACACTAAGCACTATGCAGAAACTACAACTAACTCTTATCAGAGGTAAGTCCTAAAACTATATGACTCATATATACTTGCCAATAGAGAAATAGGAAACTACTTTCTAAAAGCTATTTGCTACTGATCCAATTGGCAGATCTATTTCGACAACTTATGTGGTAGTACTACCAGCCAGTCTCTCTCCTTCTAACTTCCTCTATTGCTTCTTTTAAATCAACTAACCTATTACAAAAAGGCCATACAGTAGTATCAGACTTCAACTTCTCCTACCATCGTGCAACTGTCACCCGCTGAACTACCTCTCTCCTTCTCCCCCAACCTAACACAATCCATCACCAAAGCCATTCTTAACTGTAAAATCATTATAATACTATACAATGAGCTCTACCATTTCTCCACTAACTAAGCTAGTCTTACTAAACTTCAATTCCTACCTGGAATCTCTTACAGACATACTTTCAACCTCCCCCAGACAGCCAGTTTCTAATCTCATATCATATTTCTGGTTATCTGGCCACCTACCAGTATTCACACAATAACCTCTTACCTTTCCAACTCTCATTGATGTAGTAATTATTGATAGTGGGATAACAGATACCATTGCTACAAGAACATTGCTGTCTAACTCACTGGACCTACAGGTAGCTATGCTAGATACCCATAAAGCTTGCTCTGGTACAACTGGTTGCAATGGGGTTATATTAAATCTATCCCTTAGGAATTATTTCTAAAACTAGCTGCAATATTTGGAAGAGAGAAAACAAGGAAAATAACATAATTCTGAATGGGTATTCTGGATAAAATGATTGTGGTAGTAGATGGGGAGGGTGTCACAGAGAAGTGTTAAATTAGAAAGATGAAAGTGGTTGTAATTATATCCACTATAAAAACCCTACCGATGAAGTCTAAAATCTACGAAGCAGTTGGAGCAATGACTACCTAAAATACCAGTTGGTCTGAGACTTCCTTAAGTTCCATCAAACTGGAAAATTCATGATTGACGAATTACAAGTAGACCACCACATCACCAAGCTCAAATACCAATCCTGAGCTGCTATAAAGTAATCTATCTTCATCGTGGTCACTATATATATCAAGTATGTGTTTTCTTTTTCTTCAATACTTTCTGTTTCCTGATAGTATATTACTTCTGGCAAGAACACGTGAATACAGTTATCAAAACTCTAGAACATATTCACTACACACTCTTCCCAGAACATCTCAACTCTATCACACAAGCCCTTGAGGACTAGATCAAGTGTGACATCGATATACTAGGAATCACAGAAGGCAAGTTCTATTGGGCGATCTGTATCGGTGACCTGGAAGTCAAGGATCTATTTATCATTACCAATTCCGTCTGGAGAGAATTATGTAAAGACTCTACTGAGAGGCGAAATGAAGCTTTCGAGCCCATAGAAATCCAGTACCCTTTGGAAAAAGAGAAGTATGAAAGTGCCCAGAATTTACATTTCGCTCAACACCAGAGTATGTTGTAGGAAATGAAAAACATGGTATTGGTTGAAGAGTATATAAATATTTGGGAGCAAAGGCTCACTTGCTGGACTAACCAGTATAGATATTTGCTTAGTAAGCCATGTTCTAGTAGGGTGCTCATGACAAGAGAAATAAGGTCAGCTGCAATTAGCTTAATATTTAGGCATTGAGAGGAGGTATGTTACATATAGAGCTTGTGAGTAGAGAGTAGAAGTAAGTGAAAATAACTAAGCATCATATATGATTTAGCCATGAATCCACATGATTTCTTCATACAACTACTTGTTTTCATCCTCTGATTGGTAACATCTTTCCTTCAACAGATCATACTAAGATTCCAACCTGTCATACCTTTCCTCACATTTTTCCAATGCTATTTGTACCACCTGAATAGCTTCGCAATCACTCTCTCTTTTTTCAGAATCTTTTTCAATTGCAGATATTATTTGGGAAAGCAACTGGTTTGCATTTGAAGTGGTTGTTAGTTGCTGGCAATTATTGCGTTCAATTGACATTGTGACTTTTGGAGACTTTTTCTCTACTGTAGGTAACGGTGGAGACTTTGATGGCCTTTTTTATTTCTCCTCCTGGTGCTATTCATGGGAATATTTAGCTTCACTTACTTGTAAAATTGAATTAGACAATGTAAACTTTCAGGTGCCTTATTCCTACTATATACCGATTTTTCCTATTAACTCTAAATCTCTAGAGAATATTCATCTCTACCTACTCTACTGTCCAAACTCTCATCATTGTCTCCTAATTTCCAGTTAGTTTTTTTCTCATATATTAGTATACAAATTAAATATTTATGTATACTGGTATTATCATGATCAGACTCTCTAATACTAAGTATGTCAATCTCATCGTCCTCATTCTTACCATCATCATAATTATCTTCAATACTACCCATTTGAAGCAAGCCATCAATTTCCTGTCTTATAAGTTTAACCTCATGAAGTTTCCAACTCAAATTAGGGTCTCCTGTGGCCTTGAAAGTCCTTCTCTAATCTTATATTTATAATATTTTTTACAAGAAGTCAGCATCTCTTTCATTATGCTTCTCACTTTGAGATATCATATTATACTGAGTTGATACCTGCTCCCACTTATTTGCTCCGAATGGCTTGACCCTTTGAATCACAGACAATGCTCTTCTCCTGTTAGGCGGAGACAACCTGATAGATTTCAGTGTTGTCTAGGCCGATCGAGATTCGTTTTTATAGACAGAGATTGTCTAGGAAGGCTCAGACTTCACTCGTTTCGTATATGACTACTAAGAGCGAAGTAAAGTAAAGTAAAGTAAAATCGTAAGAACAATATTATATTGTTAAGGTCTCTTCTCCGTTGCTTGATGATGTCTAAAGCTTGGGAGGCACTTCGATATTTATATTCCGCGTCTGAGTGTTCGCGGACTACATCTAACTAACATACAACCATGTACCTTTTTCCAATATAACTCGCAACGTCGGGTTTTCTTCCAAGGTGCGAACACCTGGAGACCCTGAAAATCATCACACCCTCTTTGATAATTATAGTATGACTATTTGGAAGTCATGCTGTTTCCAATAGTAATTATCTGATGGTGAGAGTCTTTTTAGACAAATGGCCCAATTCTCAAGTCGAACTGTGTTGGCTCCAATCGTCTCCCTTGTCGACGAAATGATCAGTTTCGTCTGTGGGTTGCATCTGCGAAGATAGTTGTTATTACCGACTTTCTAGGTCATCTAACTTCAACTCTTCATAACTCCATACCCAACCGATAGGTCTTTTCCGGAGGACTTCCTACTTGCCTCCAGGAAGCCTTTCCATAGGATTGGTAGATAATCCCTCGGTCGGTAACCCTTGGTTGCCGTGGGTAATAGGATTCTGGTTACTGTTACCGGTTTGGGAGTCACCCCTTCGGTTGCAGTATGTACCGGAACCTAGTTGTAACACTCCTCGAACTTCATTGGGTTCGATGGTAGTATTTTCAGGAGTTCCAGACTCTTCTGGTTATCGTAGGGTAGATGTGAATGTATTGGTCTTTCATTAAGATCCTTTACTATTCATCATCATCTCTTTGCGCGAAAATGTCCCATTACTTACGGCCTATGCCAAAGATATCTCGTCCTTGAAGCCTAGTAACTTTCTGGGTAGTTGACGGATTCACTCCGTTATACTTCCCAGACCTAGCTGAAGGTCCCCTCTTATATATCCTGCGAACAGGATCCGGTCAGACGGATGGCGGCGACGTATACGGTGTTATTTTAACACCTTCGATTCTGTGGTATAATACTCACAGGATGCAACTTAGATCGATATGTATGATGACGCACGGGCCCCATAAGGGGGCCGGAGGGGGGTGTTGGAGACCTGAGATTTCGATTTCGGGAGAGGTTACCCTACCTAGGGTGGTTCCTAGGTATCAGATCTCGGTATTCCTAATATCTCCTATCACCTTTTATAAAATTCTAAGAGCCTGTTGCTCTTTTACCTCTTAGTTTCTTATTTTTTTTTTTTTTTAGTTTCAAATCCATACTCAGAGATATCCAGTTAACTTTCTGGACTGCAATCTATCTTGTGATTAATTGACCCACATGCTAGAGCTCGAATAGCTGGTGGAGTCTCAAGCAAGAAGTCTATAAGTTTTCTAATATTAGTATTAAAATCATTATTATAATAATTCGCTTGTAAGGAATCCAAGTAGTTTACTATATCGTATGATAGGAGATGAGAATAAGGATTCAGAGGAGTACTGTGAGAATACGCAGTCTGCCACTATTTCCAACTCAGATGTAGGAAGCTATTTCTCTTCTGTAAGTTTCAACTTCCATATTTTGTCTTTAATCTGAACTTACATTTCGCTTTTGAGACATATTCTTTTCTTCATTAATTAGTGACTCAACTTGATAAATATTGACTCAAACACAAAGGTAGTACGGTGATAGGAAAAGGAGCCTCCACTGTCAGGTAACTTGTTTGACCACAATCTGGTAGTTCAATCAATACTCGTTCATTTTGTCATCACTATATCTCCTATTTCACAATTTTTATTATACATTGAACTTCTTACAAAATTGTTAATTTACTTATAAGCAATAATATTCCTCTCCTATTACTTCTTTTTCAATTTCCCCCTGATTCTTTTTTATCTTTACTCGATAGAAAAAATCTGGATATCTAGAAACCATGCCTTGCAACGGGAATGCAGTTGTGTTCTAGCTGAGTTTCTAACTTTCAGATTTATCCAGATTCCTACGGGAAGACCTCCAGTGCCCGTGAGCGCTTTCAAAGCTAAAAACATAGCAGCATGTTATGATACCTTACTATTTGATTTCCTGTATTAAGGTTGGCCCGCCCGGAAACAGATAACTTATGATACCACTCCTTTATTTTACCATACCGTAGTATGATTTTTTTCGGGTTGATATGGAGGTCCAAAGATCCCTTACCGGTACTTGACCTCTGCTCATAACTTGACCTCTGCTCATAAGTGGTAACTTATTTTCTAATGTTCACATTCCTGGTATCATGAAATATCACTTGATAGGTGGAAATGCGTATAATGAAGCTGATTCATGGGTACTTTGCTTCAGCTATTATACAAAAAACCATACCTTTAGGCCCTGTGGGGCATGTACTCGAGTATGATACCAATTTTAATAAGAGCAGAAAATGGAATATATTTTGAAAATTATCTGCTCCCCATCTCTTGGCATATCACGTGAGCTCTGTTGTTGAGGAAACTTTCGGCCCAGGGCCTTTCTTTTTCTTTTTCTTTTCTCCCCTAGTTTTTAATTTCCTCGTTCTCGCCCCTCCACCCCACTGCCAACTGTCAAGGTGGATATTTCTTCCTATAACTCTACTCTTTCCGTTCAAAATTACATTTTCTTCCCATAAGTCCGCCTCCTTCATTGCACTTTTCTCTTCATTTTTTCCACCATTGCTATCCATATACTTTCTCCCTTGTCATGCTCCGAGCAGTCGGTAGAGGAATTCGCCGCCAAATTGTGCGCCGGAGCTCTGGGGTACGACTGACCTCTGGGGCACCTCGTATACCATGGCTATGCCCTTCGCCATACGTATACCACAAACCGATTAGGTGGTCCTCTTCAAATGCGAGGGCTATTAGTTTACCTTCAGAAACACCCCCGAAACACACCGATCGATCCTACTCCACCGCCGCCGCCGCCTTGGAGCTTGAAGATATTGACACCTCCGCTATATTCCCTCCGCTGAGACGGGATGCAGCACCATATTCTATTCCAATTGAGCCTTTAGAGCCCTTGGATCCTTCACAGCTCTTAGTATTCGAACCCCCGGCCGCTCCGGAGGAGAAATGTATGAGGAAGTCAACTGCGGGCGTCTCATCCGATAAGGCCGAAGTTCTTGCGACCTTTAACGCTTGTATCAAAGTTGGGGTGTTAGCAAGAGCACAATTGATGCTAGAGCAAATCACCAAAAATTGTATAGAGGAAAGGGATACTGTGGTTCTTGTTGATGCTCACAATATTTTTCTCAAGGCCCTGTTGGATCAATATAGCGATTCCGGTAATCTTAGTGAGCTTAAAGTCTTTTTCATGTGGTTCGAAAACAAGATGAGAGTTGAGTACTCAATCAAAGGGGATGCAACCACCTTTGCCCTATTACTCAAGGGGAGCTTGAATATTCCTGCAGCGGAAGCGAGCAAGAGATATCTAGCGGAATATATAAACTTATGGAGGTACAGTGGTAGGAACATTGTGGATGTCCTCGAGAGTGCTGTGTTGAATAATGAAGAAGTTCTCAAAATAGCAAAGGTGAGATCTACAAAAGACTTTCATCTGTGCTGATAGACTAATAAGTATAGATTTGCCATTTGCGAATCGGCGAGCTCAGTGCGACTTGCCGAGAAATGATGAAGGAACAGAGGAAGTCTCGTCTCGAACCGCCGATTTTAGCGGTCCCGGATGCGAAGCCTACTCCGGTGAAGGGTCCGGGACTGGCGGCTGTTAAATCTTCACTTAGGTCATTAATTGATCCCGACCACATGCCCTTCCAAGAGTACGACATAAATTTGAATGATAAGGAATTTCAAATTGAAAGGCAGAAATTGCTTGAAGAGCATGCGTTCGACAGCGCCCGGGAACGATGGAAAAGGGATTTTGAGAGTCTGAGTGAGAGGGGCGTTATCAAGCAGGATGCCGAGATCAACAGCCTCCTCTGGGAATGGCATCAAGCGCTTGTTCCTTTGATTCATGAAGAACTCAAACGGGTCCAGCACGCAGAGGAATCGGGGACCAAGGCTGCTGGGGCGGTGGATCGGTGCTTTTATGGACCTTTCATGCGAGTAATAGAACCGGAGAAGCTTGCTGCAATAACAATAATCGAGCTCTTGCGAACACACACTCTCAATGGTGTAGGGGCCGGTTTGAAGGCGTCCCGGGCTGTTCTACAACTTGGGAGAGAGGTGGAGTTGGAGTATCAAGCTCAGGAAGTTGCGAAGCAGAGGGGGGAAGGATTTTTCGCGAATATGTCAAAAGCGGAATTGGAAACGATCTTTCGAGATAGGTCGGCTTTCAGGAACTTGATTTCTAAAAGTAAATCTGCGAGTGATCTGGACTTCGAAGAGATACCCGAATGGCCTAATACTGTGAAGGTCAAGGTATTAACCCTTCGTAGTGCATCCTATGTTTCTTGGGGGGGTAGACTGACTCGGTGATTATTTAAAGTTGGGCGGAGTTTTAATTTCGATGCTTATTCATGTTGCCAGAATTCCGGTCGAAGCCGCAGTGCCCGGATTAACTGAAGGAACTGAATCATCTGAAAAAATTGTCCAGCATCTTCCGGCGTTTCAACACTGTTATGAGTATCAGAGGGGCCGAAAGCTTGGAGTTGTCAAGCTTCACCCTGAACTAGTCAAACGACTAGGCACAGATGACCTTAATTTTACAGCGATAGGAAAATCCCTTCCGATGGTTGTTAGGCCCCTCCCTTGGACTGACTGGGATGAAGGGGGGTACTTCTATACTCGCTCAAAGGTTGTTCGTATCAGGGAATCCGTCGAACAAAGGCAATACGTTAAGGCCGCTGCAGAGAGGGGCCACCTGGATCACTTATTCGCTGGGTTGGATGTGCTGGGTCGGACCGCTTGGAGAATTAACCGAAGGGTTTTTGATGTCGTTCTGGAAGTTTGGAATCAGGAGAAAGCATTTGCAAAAATCCCTGCGCTCAATCCGGATATTAATTTCCCACTAGAGCCGGAGCCGAACGCCGACCCAAAGGTTAGATGGGAATGGGCACGAGAGATGAAGAGGGTAAATACAGCTCGAAAAAATAATCACTCTACAAGATGTGATGTTAACTTCAAGGTTGAGATTGCAAGAGCCGTTAGTATTTCCTTCATGGCCTGTTGTGTCGGACTCTGAACTAATTGAATGGATAGTTTCTATTTGAGGAATTCTATTTTCCGCATAACATAGATTTCAGAGGCCGAGCCTATCCCATCCCACCGAATCTCAATCATATTGGGAATGATCTTTCTAGAGGTCTGTTGATGTTCTCCGAGGCGAAAGAAGTGGGGGAAACGGGCCTGAGATGGATGAAAATTCACTTGGCAAATTTGGCGGGATATGATAAAGCTAGTTTTTCGCAACGCGTGGCATTTACCGAGGAAAATATTGAAAATATTCACGATTCGGCTGAGAATCCTCTCACAGTAAGGAAATCTCAAACCAGTGTTCCTCATCCTATCGAGCTAACAAATCATAGGGCAATCGATGGTGGCTGAAATCGGATGACCCATGGCAATTGCTCGCGTCCTGTTTTGCCTTGAATGAAGCCTTATCGTTAAATAACCCGCACGAATACAAATGCCATATCCCGGTTGCGCAGGATGGAACATGTAACGGGTTACAGCATTACGCGGCATTAGGGGGGGATGTGGCTGGTGCAAGACAAGTGAACCTAGAACCTTCAGACTTGCCCCAGGATGTTTACACGGGCGTTGCGGAGTTGGTAAAGGCTTCCGTTGAGCTTGACGCGAAGCGCGGGCTTCCAGCGGCTGTTGCGTTAAAGGACCTCGTTACTAGAAAGGTGGTTAAGCAAACGGTCATGACAAACGTTTATGGCGTTACTTTCATTGGCGCGAGGAATCAGATTGAGAATCAGCTCAAATGTATTGAAAGCCTTGATCAAAAGGATATCCCGGCGCTCAGCCTGTACTTGACGAAAAAAGTCTTCGATTCTATCCAAGAAATGTTTACCGGTGCAAGTGCGATTCAAGATTGGCTTGTTACGTGCGCCAAAAGGATCTCTAGATCTGTCCGACCAAATCAATTGGAACACCTGAAGGATCCCAAGACTGGTGAGGATAGCGTGCACTTTATGACAAGCGTTGTATGGACTACACCTTTGAGGTTACCAGTTGTGCAGCCATACCGACAGGTGGCCTCCGCCGCAATTTCTACCAATCTGCAAACCGTTTACATTAACGATCCTTACGTCATCGACAAAGTGGATAGCAGAAAGCAGATGACAGCCTTCCCCCCAAACTTCATTCATTCCCTCGACGCCTCGCACATGCTGCTTTCGGCATTGAATTGCGACGCCTCGGGTCTAACGTTTGCTAGCGTGCATGACTCGTTTTGGACGCACCCTTCAGACGTCGACGAGATGAATCGTATTCTGCGAGATTCCTTCGTCGCATTGCATGGGAAGGATATTATAGAGAACCTGAAGGCTGAATTCGAAGAGCGTTACAAAGGTTTCAGAACCCTCGTTAAGGTTATAGCAAACACTCCGTGTGGGAAGAGAATCAAATTGGCTCGTAGAAACTACGCAATAGAGAACCTCGGCCGCCCTAAACTAACAGCGGTTGAGGACCTCCAATGGGAACTTAAGAGGTGGGCTCTAATGCAAAGCCACGACCACGACGACCGAAAGATAGCGGCGGAGATGGTGACCCCAAGTGTCATCTTGGAGAAGTATGGGGGACTCAAAGTTAACGAGTTGGCGGAGAATACTGGTAAGCTTGGTTTGAGTGTGAACGATTATGGCTCTCCGAGTTTGGGTGATCAAAGTGGGGATGAGGGATCGATTGTGGACCAGGAGGATATCCTGGGGCCGGCTGAGGAGAGTGATGACGGATATGAGGAGAGCGCCCCACTTGATGAGGATATGGTGTTGGGGGGCATGGAAGAAGGCTCGAGGATGCTGGGCACTGCTGGCGATGAGGATATAGATCTGGATGATGCATCCACGAAGAAGAGATCAAGAGCAAGGAAGGAATTGGACGAGGATGGAAATACTATTCCTCGCGATAACGGAAGTGCCAAGGGAACTTTAAAGCCTAAGCAGGCCCACATTGCGACATTGAACGTGTGGGTGGAGCTCAAGTTCCCCGACCTACCGCCTAAGGTAATTCAATCTCTCCCATTCACTCAAAAAGCAAACTCACCTCTAACTCACGTCGCTCCAATAGGGTCTGTTCGATGTAAACTTGCTTAGGAAGAGTGAGTACTTCTTCTCATGAGTTGCTACTTTTCTTCTGACCTGTCATCGCCCGTTATTTGGCCGATATATCTCTCCCCTCCGTTCTATCCTATCTTGGTGTGCCATGGATTACAGATGCATTTGGTTTTCCTTGAAAAATGGAAGTATAAAGTTGTGCGCTTGGTTGGGTTTTATTTTCTATTCACTTATGCTTTTCCTTCATGCATTCATATACCGGTAGGGGTAAAACGGGCCAGGTTTTCTTTCCTTCTTTTTCTTCTTTTATTTTTTCCATTTAAATATTTAAATATTTATTCCTTTCGCGTTCTTGTATAGTACCATGGATTTTGGACCTTTGTATAAAATTGAAAGGGATATATCTCCGGGTAGCCACGAGCTATGAAGGATACTGTCGTAACAGCCACGGGTGCTACCGGTAACCCTAGTCCGTCCGACCGACCACATACGGTAGATTATGATACGATGATCATAATAACCTCTCTCCTATGGCGCGCTGACAGCTACCGATAGCACATAACTAAAGTTTCCCCCTTCGAGAATCCAGTTCTCCGCTTTGGTGGGCCAAATAAAAGGTTCAAGTTCACAATTGGTTGGTTTTGCCACAGAATCTTTTTGAGCGTTTCTGTACCAATGATGGGGGATGGTATGATACGAGTACATCGGACGAAGAAGTGCCTTGTGCTTTGACAATACCAGTACCGGTATTGTCCCACCGAGTCCACCTCGCCCCTGCTAGCACAGAAGCTACGAGCACCGTATCATACTCGAGTAAAGCACTCGAGAGCATTGGTCCTGTAAAAGTACAGTACGAGTACTGTGCTTGTATGGTACTGGTACGGTGCCCACTGGATGATCAGTAGCCGGGCACGCTGACTCAGCGCTCTTGGTGGGTTTAGATATTCTCGGCAGGCTAAATTATGGGAAGCTCGGAGTATTCCATGAGAGGCTTAGCTACGCAGTATGATACCTGGTACTTGTATAGGGTACCAGTGCTCGAGTACTGTACAGTAACTCATGGTCGAGGTAGAAATCCTCAAATCCCAAGGCGAGGCATGGCGGTCTCGCGTGACCCTTACGGTATGATACCGCACAAGTACTACAAGTAGATCTTGAATCTTGCATAACTACAGTACGAGTAAGGCATGGCGGCGATCCTGGTGTCACTTCAGCTTTAATGAGCCTGGGATCATGCTCGAACCAATCCTTCTCCTCCCAACCCCACCTCACCTTATTACCAGTATCTCTCCCCACTCTTCTTCCTCCTCGCACTTACCGTATACCTTCCTCCGGATTTTACCAAAACAACAACAACGACAACAATGTCATTACTCTCCCTCCCGAACGAGATAATCCTGCAAATAACTGAAGACTTGTCCCCGGCGCAACTCAACTCCCTATTACGGGTAAACCGCCGTCTTTCCAACCTCATCCCGCACGTCCTCCTAGAAAGCCTCTTCCGCACACGCTCACCGTGCTTCGGTGCCCGCGCGCTCTTCAATGCAGCAGAGCGGAATGACTGGCAATTCGTTAAGCGTCTCGTCGACCGCGGGATCTTCGACTTCGCCGACGACGGATTACTGCTTAATCGTGCGGTCGAAGAGACGCGCAGCGAGCGGGTTGTGGCGACGTTGTTGGCGTACGGTATTAAAGCGGATGCTTGTATGTTTAGAGGGGCACAACTTGGGGGAACGCCGCTGTGGATCGCGGCAAATTTGGGTTGCCGAGATATCGTCAGGTTGTTGTTGGGGAGGAAAGACGTTGATCCGAACGGGCGGGCTGGTGGAGCGCCGTTGATCGCGGCTGTCAAGAGGAATGATGTTTCAATGGCGAGACTGCTACTATGCAACCCCTTGACGAGGGTCAACCCCGCCGACAAGAACGGGGAAGTGCCGTTGCAGATTGCGCTGGAGAAGGAGCACCTGGAGATGGTCTTACTACTCATGGTGGACGAGCGGATCAACGTCAACGCGACTTTTAATACGGGGTGGTCACCGCTACACTTGGCTGCCAGCACGGGTAACGAAACTATGGTGCGCGTCCTCTTATCAGACCCAAATATCCTTGTGAACGCACAAAACCACCGAGGCTGGACACCGCTGCACCAAGCCGTCTACCATGACTTCGTAGTAATAGCGCGGATCCTCCTTTCGGATGAAAGATCGGACGTCAATATCGGCCCACCATACCACCGCACAGCCCTCCACATCGCTGTCCAAAACGGAAACTTGGCCCTCGTGCAACTCTTGCTAAACGACAAGCGCACGGAAGTGAATCTCGGCCCGCCCTACCACAGCACACCCCTGCACTGGGCCGTCCAGCAGGGAAACCTAGATGTCTTGGGCCGCCTGCTGCAGGACCCGAGAATTGACGTCAACGCGGCGGATCATACCGGCCAGACGCCGCTGCACCTGGGGGTCGCAGCCCCCAACGAAGAGACGGTGGAGTACTTGTTGAGGGACAGGAGAGTCGACGTCAATGCTGTGAGCTCCTACGGCAGGACACCGCTTGACATTGTGGTAAATAATGGCAGGGAGAAGACAGCTTCCGCACTGATTGGCAGGAAGGGTTTGGCGACTGGGACGGGGAGGAAGAATAGGAAGCGGAAGGGCGTGTCCTTGCTGTCGTCGATTGGCTCGGTAGCTGGGGGTGGGGGGGCAGTGTTCGTGCCCGTTGCAGATCAAGGAATTGGGGGGGTCGCTAGGGGTAAGGTGGAGATGCCGGTGCAGAAGGGATTCGGGGGGAGATTGAAGGATGTGGTCGCTGGGTTCACTGTGCGAAGGAGAGATGAACCGTGGTGAATCAATGTGATATTTCTTAGCGTGCGATAGTCGCGCTGCACAGTAGTACCGGTACTGTAAATTGGCCTAGCTAGGCTATGATACTATGCGCTAGTGCAGTTAGTCTAGCCCGTTCACGATTTCCTTCAATATATATATATATATAGTGATCGGCATCTGGCGCTGCCAGAGCTAGGATTACCAGGGACAAGCTCGGGGAGTGCCACAAGTCCAAGCAGTCATTGAGTGACTCCTCTTGTAGTATATATCTATTATATCAAACCGAGTCATATAGAGAGTAGCTATAGTTATCCATGGACACGATACCGAGGCAAACTTTGCTACGAGTAGAATACCGTACGAACGGACCCCCTTTCCGCTCGTCCTGGAATCTTCGAGCCTTCGTGGGAGGAAGGGGAGGGGGGGATTCATAGAAAGGTGGGATTGCTGCTGCAGCGCGATCTTGGACAATTTCGAGTTTCTTGGAATGGCCCATCTTGCATTTTCGAAAAATCCGGAGTCTTTGCGTATATTTCGATTAGGTTTTGGAGAGAACGAGAATGCTTAAGGGGGAGTATTTTTTTTATTTTTATTTTATTTTTATCATACGGTTTGGTATTATAGTTATTATAGCGGGGCTGTTGTTGTCCGATTGGGGTTGGGGGTGAGGAGGGGTTTGGGAGATAGAGCATTTCCAGGTATTTCATTTTTACTGTATTTACCGGTATGGTATCTCGCTCGGAGGGGGGGGGGTGGGGGAAGTCATTTTTGGGAGAAATGGTCTCGCGGAGCGGGGGTTCCGTTTGGAAATGGGAAATGATCAGGCTGGAGAGTTGCACGGTGCCAAGGGAAAAGAAAGGGGGTTTAATCGTATATTATATTATGGGAGGGAAGTTTTTACCGATTGTTCGATGAGGCGAAAAGAGATATAAGAGGTGAAGCATCGTACAGAAAAGGGAGAATATCATATAAAAAATATAAAAAATATAAATTTGAGTGTTAGTACATTCAACTGACTTGTAGTGGCATGTACTGTACAAGTACGGCACTGTTCAGTATCATACATGCTCAAGCTTCTCCTCTCCAATTTTCCTCCTAAGTGCTTTTTGCACTTTTCTCAACACCACGTACACTATTTCCAAATTCTCGCATAACGTGACCTGTCAGGTTATATAAATAATCCCAAAATGGCCACAATGCTAACTCAGGGTATGGCTCCCCCTAAAGTTATTGATACCAGCGATAGTGAAAGACCGGAGACCCCCACCCCTGGTGGGTCGAAGGGAAAGAAGGAAGAGACCGGACTGTACAAACTCCCTGAATTTCATCAAATCAAGGGGCTTGCAATGGATCTGCTTTATGCCCCAGGGCCCACGAAACAAACTCCCGCTACAGGTGCCATTGGCAGTGCTGAGGACAAGGACTTTTCTACTGAAAGCATTGCTATGATGTTCCTGATCATTGCGCAGGATCACCAGATCAAGGCCCTCACAGTTATGATGTAAAACCTTACTACCCTAGTACAGGAGCAAGGCGTGGCAGTGGTGAAGGTAGCGGAACGCCCACCGCTAGCGAAAAAACTGGTTGAGTCACAGAATAAAACATATGCGGAAGCAGCTTCCAAGCAGGAGACGGAAACAAACATGACAACGAAAAAGAAATGCATGGGTAAACATGGTTCGGAGGAGGGTCCCATCCCGCCCAAACAACCAGCACCTAAACAGCCTAAAATACAGGAGCAAGGCAAGGGCAAAGATGATGGGAAGTGGACAACGGTCGAAAGCCCGAAACGCCAAAATGGATCTACAGTGGCCAAGTGTAAGATCTTTGCTACGAGGATGACGGCAAAACCCCTCACCAATCTGGCAGCCGAAGAAGCGAGGATAGCGATAGCCCTCACTGATGCACTGGTGGGTTGTGTGTGCAAGGCACCAACCAATTTGCAAGTGTCTTTAAATAGGATAAACGGCACAATTACGGTTACTGTACTACAGGGAACCGATTCAGGACAATACTCCAGATACCTGGACAAGATGACCGAGGCGCAGAATGCAACAAACCCGGAGGGAGAACCAGTGTATCTTCCTTTCAGAAGAGTCCTAACTGATGTCAACGTCTTGGCACATGGCATTCCGCTAGATGCTATTCCATCTGACCTAACCAAGCTGGATACAGAGATCAAACAATACTTTAAAAGTGCACACAAGATCAACCTCAAATTGGCCAAGTTCTTGAAAGCAGATGCGACAAGTAGGATAGGAAAGAGAGCTACCTCCTTGATGCTAAGATTGCTGGAAGTGGACACCGGGAAGGTTACGCCACAAGTGGTCTTCATGGAAAAGGTTAAAGAATCGAGGGTCATGTGGCATGTAACCCCAGCTACACAATGCACAAGGTGTTGGAAATTTGGTTATACCAAAATAGGATGTAGGGAGAAAGTGGATATGTACCCCATCTGTTCCAAGATGCACTCCCAAAAAGATCACAAGTATAGGCAGAGTAGTTGTGGAGGACATACGAGATTGATACCTGGTTGTTGTTCAATGACACCGGCCAGATGCCAAGCATGTGTGGGATAAACACTCAGCTAA